GTTGTTGTTTTTGTCATTTTTTATAAATTTATTTATTTATTTGGCTGCATGCGGGATCTTTCATTGTGGCACACAGGCTTCTTTCTACTTGCGTGGCATACAGGCTCCAGAGCGCGTGGGCTCAGTAGTTGCGGCATGTGAGCTCTCTAGTTGTGGCACGTGGGCTCTAGAGTGCGTGGGCTCAGTGGTTGCAGCACATGGGCTTAGTTGCCCCGCGGCACGTGGGATCTTAGTTCCCCTACCAGGGATCGAACCCAAGTCCCCTGCATTGGAAGGTGGATTCTTAACCACTAGACCACCAGGGAAATCCCAATGTGGTTTTGTCTCTATAAACTTGCCTTTTCTGAATATTTCATATAAATGGAATCAAGCGATATGTTGTTTTTTGCACGTGGCTTCTTTGTCTTTGAGGTTCATCCATGTTATAATGTGTTTTAGGATTTTATTCCTTCTTACTGTTGAAGAGTGTTCCACTGTATGGGCTGATCTCATTTTCTTTGTCCACGTACCATTTGAGAGACATTTGGGTTGTTTTGCTTTAAACAGTTGCATATGAACTTTTGTGAGGATATATGTCTTCACTTCTACTGGGTATATACCTAGGAGTGGAATTGCCGAGTCATATGGTAAATTTATGTTTAACATTTTTTTAAAATTTTATTTTATTTTTGGCTGTGCTGTGCAGCTTTCAGGATCTTAGTTCTGCAACCGGGGATTGAACCCTGGCCCTCGGCAGTGAAAGTGCAGAGTCCTAACCACTGGACCACCAACCTTTTAAGAAATTGCCAGACTGTTTTCCAAAGTGGCCGTGTGATTTTACATCCCACCAGTAGGGTGGTGGTTAATTTCCTGATATTTATGCATTTTCCAAGTTTCCTTCTGTTGTTGATTTCTAATTTAATGTCGCTGTGGTCAGAAAACATACTTGGCATAATTTTAATCCTTTTAAATGTATTAAGACTTGTTTATGGCCTATAGTGTGTGGCATCTACTGGAGGATGTTTCATGTTCACTTAGATATCGTACTTTATGTTGTAGGGTAGTGTTGTCAGGCCATCTTGGTTGATAGTGTTGTTTATCTTCTATATCCTTGTTGATTTTGTCTTATTGCCCCATCCTTTATTGAGAGTATTAAAGTCTCCAATTGTTTCTGTTGAACTCTTTCTGTCTTTATTCTGTCAGTGTTTGCTTCATGTATTTTGGAGCTGTGTTGTTAGGTCTGTATGTTTATAATTATATATCTCCCTGATGAATTGGCCCTTCTATCATTGTAAAATACTACTCTTCGTCTCTAGTTAACATTTTTTGGTCTTAAAGTCTGCTTATCTGATAGTAGTATGGCCACTCTTGTTCTCTTATGGTCACTCCTATTCTCATATTGTTATATGCAAACAGGGGCATGTATCTTTTTCTGTCCTTTTATTTTCACCATACTTATGTCTTTAAATCTAAGGTATGTCTCTTATAGACAGCATATATTTGAATCTTTTTTTAAAAAATCCAATCTGACAGCCTTTGCCTTTTGATTGGAGTGTTTAATCCATTTACATTTAATGTGATTGTTGATGTTGTCGGATTGCCATTTCGTTATTGTCTCCCTGTATCTCAGGTGTTTTTTGTTTGATCCTCTGTTACTGCCTTCTTTTGAGTTAAATAGATATTTTCTAGTGTAATATTCTAATTTCTTTGTTGCTTTTTTTTTTTTACTTTAAAAATCTTTCTTAGTGGGTTTTTATAAAATATATTTATTTATATTTATTTTGGCTGTGCCAGGTCTTAGTTGCAGCATTCAGGATCTTCATTGCAGCATGTAGGATCTTTAGTTGCAGTATGTGGGTTTCTTAGTTGCGGCATGCATGCAGGATCTAGATCCCCGACCAAGGATCAAACCCATATCCCCTGCATTGGGAGTGTGGAGTCTTACCCACTGGACCACCAGGGAAGTCCATCTTAGTGGTTTTACAATTTAAATTACAATATGCATTTTAACTTAACACAATCTACTTTGGAGTAATACTAACTGAATTCCAGTAAAATAAAGACATTTTGCTCCAGTATAACTCCCTTCTCGCCCTCTTCCTTTGTGCTATTATTGTCATACACATTATATCTCAACAACACAGTTTTATAATTATTGTTTTATGTAGTTGTCTTTGAAATCAATTAAGAAAAGAGAAAAAAGCTTATATTGTCTTTTATATGTGCCTATATAATTACCTTTACTGCTGCTCTGTATTTCCTTATGTAGATTCAGGTTACCATCTAGTGTCATTTCACTTTAACCTGAAGTATTTCTTCTATGGCAGGTCTGCCAGCAATGAATTCTTTTAGCCTTTGTTTATCTGGGAATGTCTTTATTTTGTGTTCACTTTTGGAAGACAGTTTTGCTGTATATAAAATTCTTGGATGAGAGTTTTTTCCTTTCATCACTTTGAATATATCCTCTCACTATCTGGCCTCCCTTGTTTCTGATAAGAAGCCAGTTCAAATCTGCTGTTGAACCCTTCTAGTGATTTTTTCTTATCAGTTGTTATACTTTTCAACTCTAGAATTTTCATTTCTTTTTTATAGTTTTAATCTCTTTATTGACATTCCTTATTTGAGAAGTCATTGTCATCATACTTTCCTTAAATCTTTAAACATTGCTTCTATTAGGTTTTTTAGTTTTTAATTAAAGTATAGTTGATTTATAATATGTGTTTCTGGTGTACAGCATAGTGATTTAGTATTTTTGCAGATTATATTCCATTATAGGTTATTACAAGATAATGGCTATAATTCCCTGTGCTACACAGTATATCCTTTTTTTAAAAAATTTATTTTTGGCTGTGTTGGGTCTTCATTGCTGTGCACGGGCTTTCTCTAGTTGCAGCGAGTGGGGGCTGCTCTTCGTTGTGGTGTGTGGGCTTCTCATTGGAGTGGCTTCTCTTTGTTGCAGAGCACTGGCTCTAGGTGCATGGGCTTCAGTAGTTGTGGCATGCAGGCTCAGTAGTTGTGGCTCGCAGGCTCTAGAGCACAGGCTCAGTAGTTGTAGCGCATGGGCTTAGTTGTTCTGTGGCATGTGGGATCTTCCCAGACCAGGGTTCGAACCTGTGTCCTCTGCATTGGCAGGTGGATTCTTTTTTATTTTTTAATAAATTTATTCATTTATTTATTTTTGGCTATGTTGGGTCTTCATTGCTGCACGTGGGCTTTCCCTAGTTGTGGAGAGAGGGGCTACTCTTTGTTGCAGTGCACCGGCTTCTTATTGAGGTTGCTTCTCTTGTTGCAGAGCACGGGTTCTAGGCACACGGGCTTCAGTAGTTGTGGCATGTGGGCTCAGTAGTTGTGGCTCGTGGGCTCTAGAGCGCAGGCTCAGTAGTTGTGGCACATGGGCCTAGTTGCTCCGCAGCATGTGGGATCTTTCCAGACCAGGGATTGAACCTGTGTCCCCTGAATTGTCAGGAGGATTCTTAAGCACTGCGCCACCAGGGAAGTCCCTATATCCTTGTTGCTTATCTATTACATATATAGTAGTTTAATCCCATAACCCTAATTTGTGCCTCCCCACCGTCAGGGTTTGGTTCTGTTTTTGTTTTTTTACTTATTTGTAATAGCTGCTTAGAAGTCTTGGTCTGCTAGGTCTAATATCTGGGCCTCCTTGGAGATAGTGTCTGTTGATTGCTTTTCCTTCCCTGTGTACTGTCCGTACTTCCCTAGTTCTTTGCATGTCTTATAATTTTTGTTATTACTGCCGTGTGTTTGTTTCTTTAGAGACTTGCCTGAGCTGACCGTGTGGCGCCTGTATTCTCTGCAGTATGCAGCTACTGACGTCTACTTGTTTTTCTTTTTAAATTACCCTTTTTATTTTTAAGCCTAGCTTCCTAGGGGTTTCTTCCAGGTCAGCATATGTTAGTGGTCCGCCAGTGATTAATCAGAGGTTGTGCTTAAACATCTTGCACCATTAAGGCTTTACCGATGAATCTGTGAGTGGTCTGGGGAACACACTCAAAGCTCAAGCAATTTACATGTCTGCCCAGCTTTCAGTTTGTGAATGTGCAAAGCATCCCACTAGCCAAGAATGAGTTGATAGCTGGGGTACTCTCCCATCTCTCCCAAGTGTGCTATACACATGCATAGCCTTCCATACCACCAGAGATATCTGGATTTTATCAAGGCCCCCTATGACTATCTCATTTCCCAGATCTCCTGTTAAATTTCCGGCAGCTCTGTTGCTTGTTCCAACCAGTATTCCAGCTTCATGTTAGCTGTGATGTTCCTGATTATTTGCCATTGAGATCACTATTGTTTGTGGTCCTGTCCCATGGGTTTTTCTGTGTTCCAGCCCAAATCAAGTCAGCCCCCTCAGGGCTTGCCCCACCCTGCTAGAGCTACAGCACCACAGAGCTTGAGGAGATGGGAGTACCCCCAGGCCAAAAAGCCACAGGCTCCATTGTTTTTACCAAGGTCCAAAAGTTCTGGAATAAATGCTTCTCAATTTGTTATTTGCCTTAGGTTAACTTCCAGAGTCCAGAAATCGTTGTTTTTGAGAACTGAGTCCAGTTGTGGTTTTTTTTAAAAGGATATTCTTTTTTTTAAATTTTGTTTAATTTTGGGCTGCACTGCACAGCATACAGGATCTAGTTCCCCGACCAGGGATTGAACCTGGGCCCCCTGCAGTTGAAGCGTGGAGTCTTAACCATTGGATCACCAAGGAAGTCCCTGTGTCTAGTTTTATTATTGCTTTTTGGGGAAAGAATTTGCTGAGCTCCTTCCTCTGTCATTCTGAAAGTCCCCCCCACCACACATCTTTTTAACGGCTGTGTAGCGTTCCGTTCTTCGGGCATCCCACTATTTATTTGTCGATAGGTATATGGATATGTAGATTTTCCACATCTTCCCAGGCCAGCCATTCTGCTCTTGCCTCTCAGAACATCTCTCTCTGAGCTCTCCCCTACTTCCTGGGGGTCAGAGCGGCCTGAGCCCGACCCTCTTCCTCACCCCTCCACTTTGTTTCTCAGGAAAGACACTGATCAAGGTGGCAGAAGCAGAAAAGCGCCTGGGAGCCGCAGAGAGGGATTTTATCCACACGGCCTCCATCAACTTCCTTACACCCCTGCGCACCTTCCTGGAAGGGGACTGGAAGACGATTTCGGTGAGGGGCCTGGGGCCACTTGCCTCCTGGCAATGGTGGCAGCCCTCTGAGCCCAGGCTCTCCTCCCATGCTGGGACCCAGCACTCCTGGGATCTCCCCAGACATGGCTCTTGTGGACTGAGTGGCCTGGAGTGGATGACTCCCCCCATCCAGGCCTCAGTTTCCCCGTCTTGACCAGATGGTCCTGGGGGCTGGTCCTGCCAGGGCCAGGGGTCTCCCAGGGCTGCCCAGGTCTCACTGTTCCCTGTTCCCACCCCCTCAGAAGGAGAGGCGGCTCCTCCATAACCGGCGTCTGGACCTGGATGCCTGCAAAGCACGGCTGAAGAAGGCCAAGGCCGCAGAAGCCAAAGCCACGGTAGGTGTCGTGCCGGCCTCCTGCCCCCCCCACCCCCACCGGTCCTGGTTGGAGCCAAGGAGGGGGTGAAGGGACCTGGTGTTTGGCATGACTTCTCTCCCCTGTCCCTGCCTGGAGAGGCCTGGCTGGGGGCTGCTGCTCTGGGCTGACCACTTCAGGTCACACCTCTCTGCCCCACCTGCAACGGACCCCTGGCGGCCCAGAGCCCTGGGACCCAGGGCAGACGTTGATGGGGTGGGCGGACCAGCAGTGCCCCGACCTGGGCTCAGGGCGGCCCGCAGCCTCCCCAGACCGACAGCCAGTTGGCTTCTTGCATGCCCCTGCCCTGCCCTCCCTGGGTGCTCGGCTCTGTTCCCGGCTCTGCCCGGGCATGGCTCCTCCTACTAACTCCCCCACCTGCTGCTCCAGCGCTGGTCGCAGGGTGCCCTGTGCTCAGGCTCCCCTGTGGTGGTGCGGAGGGCCCCGGAGCTGGACCACCCGCCTGCCCAGGGGCGTGTCTGAGGGGCCCTCTGGGAGCCCCACGGCACTGGGTGGGGCCTGGGCTGTCTTCGCTCCCCCTTCACTCTCGGCTCACGGAGGCCTGTTCAGCCAGGCCGATGGGACACAGTGTGGGACACCTTGACCAGGGCTAGGCCAGGGTTGGGAGAGCTGGGCCTGAGGGTGGCCAGGCTGCTTGGGGTGCAGGGCCCGAAAGGCCACCGCACGCCCTGGGGAGGGAATCCCCAGGTCAGGTCCAGGGCACGCCGTGGAAACATCCGGCCTGGGCTCCCCGCTCCCCTGAGAGTTACAGCCTCCAGCCCTTCTCACGTTCCCCTCCCTCAGTGTGGCCACCTGGGGCCACGGAGCCTGGGCAGTGCGTCTGGCGAGAGCCGTGGGCAAGGTCCCGGCTCATCCAATTATGTGGGGTCCAAACTGGAGGCAGGGGCTCAGCCACTGGAGTCTTGTTGGCTTGGGCAGGATGACCTATGTCTGTCTAAGTCACCTGGACAGGACAGTCTCCCCGCCACTCAGGGGCGGACCACCTCTCTGGAGTAACTTGGCCAGGACAAGCTCTTCCTACCTCAGCCAGGCGGGGGAGCCCTTCCTTAGTTACTGGGACGGCACGACCTCCCCTCCAGTTGGTTGGCCCAGAGTCTTTGGCTTGGGCAGGACAGCCCGTCCCGAGCTGGGCCCTGGCAGCCCAGATACAGCATCCCAGAGGACTCCAGCCCAGCAGTGCACACACACACACACACGTGTCAGGACTCCTTCCAGAGGGCAGGGTTGTGTGACCCCAGGGGCCTGCTCCCGCCTGCGCTGTGGACTAACTCTTTGTTTTTGTCCCTTTCTGTTCTGCTTTGGGTAACTTGGCTCAGTGTGAGGGAGATGTGAGTATACCTATCCCACGTGCTGTGCTGCTTCTGGTTTGCCCATCTCGGCCTCGGGCCCACAGTGCTGGGTCGGCCGGGGACGTCCTCGGGGCGTTTTGCAAGCAGCTGGTCTCCCCACCGGAGGCTCTACCATGTGTAGCCTCTGCTTCGGGGGGACGCCAGGCATTGGAGCCTGTGAGTCAGCTTTTTGCAAATGTTGAAAGCCTGTCACTGTGTCCATCCATGCATCCGTCTGTCCATCCTCGTTGTGGGGAGAGGGGCCTGGTCCTTGCTGCAGGAGCGAGAGACGTGGTGTGCGGAGGTTCTGGATGGAGAGAGCTGGGCGGGGCGGGCTTTGTTGGGAGGACGGTGGGTCTAGTTGGGGCATCTGAGTGAGGCCGGGGCCTGGGGACGAGGGTCCGTGGCCGCCGGGCCAGGGGCTGGACCCGTCTGTGGCTTGCCCCAGATAAGGGCCCTGATGGCAGGCATGTCCACCCACTTAATCTTGGTTTGGACTCGCCTCGTCCCGCCTCCTCTGCAGGTGGTTGGCTTGGGGAGAAGCGGGGGGCTCCGTGTTGTATTTGTCTGTACCCTCCTGTCCGTGGGGTCGGGGGCTCCTGGCATCTCCCATGGGAGGGTCTAGGGCGGCCTTCCGGCCCGGCCCCGGCCCCGCATGACCCCCTCCCCCCATGAACTCTGTTCCCCGCCAGACGGTGCCTGACTTTCAGGAGACTAGACCTCGTAATTACATTCTCTCGGCCAGCGCCTCCGCGGTAAGCGCCCCTGCCCCGCCCCGCCCCCCCTCCCCTCCCACACTCGGGCCTGGGCCTGACGTGCAGCGAACTGGAGCCAGAGGGGCAGGCAGGCGCCGCGCCCCTGGTCAGGCAAGTCCTGTCCACCCGCCTCTGCCCTGTGCCCTGTGCCCGTGTTGCCGGCCTTGCTTCTCCCTGCCCAGCGCTGAAGGTGAGCCTGGCCCACTGCGCGGCACAGCCCGGTGCACTTGGGGCGGCAGCGGCCCCACCTCCAGGGCACCTGAGAGTCTGCCCAGCCCCGACCCCCCCAAAGCAGGCACCGCCCCCTCCCACACTCACCGTCCCGGAGCGACCGGCCGTGCGGCCCGGAGGAGAGGGAGGAGGTCTGGGCCTGGCCTGCCACGGGGTCACGGGAGACAGGGACGGCGCTGTCCATCCAGCTGCCTCCGTAGCACATCTGCCAGGTGTCGTGGAAGTGCTTGAGACTGAACAGGGAGGGTGGGAGGGCACAGCTGGGTGGGGGAAGGAGCCGCCTGGGCCCGAGGCCCAGAGGTTGGAGAACAGAGCGTGTCCTGAGCTGGCCTGAAGCTGAGCGTGAGGGCGGGGCGGGGGCGGGGACTCTGGAGGTCGGATGGGCGGGGCTGGATCAGGAGGACGTTGAATGTCTTGGTGTCTTTTCTTCCTACAGCTCTGTTGAGATTTGTGGTATTTACTGTTTAGTTTGGGAAATAGACAGATCACACCTATCCCATCATGCCTGTCGAAACCACCACTGTGTCTTTCTCTGCCTCTCTCTCTGTCCCTTCCACCACCCCCACCCCACCCCCCGACGGGTGACAACCTTCTGCAAAGACCCTCTGGCTCTTCTCCATCTGTCATAAGCATGTTGCCGTGTGCAGTCATTTGTCCTCGGGGGCGTGAACCACAGTGTAGTCCACCGGGCCCCTGTGGCTGGGTCTCCGACGTGTGTCCACGTGGAGGTTGCTTCCCGTGTTGTGATTTGCTAAACGGCACTGAGGTGGGACACATCTGTCCAAGGGCTGGCCTTGTTTTGCTTTCCGCATTTCAGGTCACATCGTAGGGTAGCAGCGGGCAGGAGAAATGGGTCTCCTAAGCCGTGGCGGGGGGAGGGGGGTCTTTCTTCTTTAGACTCTGGATGACACTTCCCGCCCCCCTTCCTGGGCCGAGTGGAAAGAGGAGTATCCAGGAGGGTGGAGACGGCCCTGTTTTTTCCTTGTGCCTTTGAACCCCAGTGTGACTCGGGCACGAGGCTGCCTTTCTCTGCCGAAGGACAGAAAGGTTCAGTGACTGGTCCAGGGTCACACAGTCCTGCCTCCCAGCCCACCAGCCTTAGCCAAGTGTCAGGGTGGGGTGCGGGACGCTCAATCTCCCTTGAGACCCCAGTCAGAGCCTGGGGACTGGCACTGTAGGAGAAACCCAAGTAGGACTCCCCAGCTGGCTGTCCCCCCTCCCCGCATGTGGCATGTGGGACTAGACGGACTATGATGTCGGAGCCCCCCCTTTCACACCAGGCCTCACCCCAGCCTCAGCCCCTCGTTGGGCTGTGGGGAGGGAGTTGGGGAGAGGTTGGGGTCTCAGGGAGCTGGGGCAGGGCCTGGGCTCTGGGGTTCAGCCGTCCGCCCCTCCCCTGCTGACCGGTGCCCCCCTCCCTCCCCCGCTGACCTGTCCTCTTGTGGCCTCCGCAGCTCTGGACTGATGAGGTGGACAAGGTAAGCCGGGGCTCAGGGAAGAGGCTGCAGGGGGTGGGCACCGGGAGCCCAGGCTCACCTGCTGCCGTCAGGGGCAGGTCTGTTTCTAGTTCTGGGCTCTGTCCTCACTCGCTGGGGCCACGGTAGGGGTTGTCTCTTCACCTCTGCCCTGTTGCACACAGTGGGCCCTCCGGAGGCAACTGTTGGTTGGATTTGTCCCTGATGCGTGATGGCGTCAGATGGGCAAATGAATATGAAAGGCCAAGGCAGGGCGCCCGAGGCTGTGTCTGCTTGTCCAGGAACTGGCCTCAGGAGGGGGTGGGGTCCAAGCGGGGCTCCTCCAGTGGTCAGGGCTTCAGGCCTGAAGTCAGGGGTGGGAAGTGCACTCCTGCCACCAATGTCTGCATCCCTGAGGGGAAGTGACAGCTGCCACAGAAGGGAAGAGGAGGCCGCTCCTGGGCGGCTTCAGGGGCGTGGGAGAAGGCGGTGGGAGGGAAGCTGGAGGGCGGTTCTTGTTCTCGCGCTCATGCCCCGCCCTTCCCAGGCTGAGCAGGAGCTCCGAGTGGCCCAGACAGAGTTTGACCGGCAGGCAGAAGTGACCCGGCTCCTGCTGGAGGGAATCAGTAGCACACACGTGAGTCCTGCCCCCGTTTCCTCCTCCTGTCGTCCACCGTCTTCTTGCCGCCCCTCGTGTCCCCATGAAACTAGTCCATATTGAGGCAGCAAGTGAACCTGGATCTCGAAGGCAGGTGGGGAAGGGTGTGCTTGAGCCCGCAGTCTGTAAGGATGGGATTTAGCCTCGGCAGAGCAGGTCCCAAAGGGTGGGTACCTCCCTCCAACCCCAGGGAGCAAGTGGCCTGGGCAGAAGACATCAGAATGCCGGGCCAGGGTCTGCAGAGGACAGGATGGGGAATGGGATGTTTTGGCCCCTCGCATCCCCCCCGTCAGCCATGGGCGTCTTCCCCGCAGGTGAACCACCTTCGCTGCCTCCATGAGTTCGTTGAGTCTCAGACCACTTACTATGCCCAGTGCTACCGCCACATGTTGGACCTACAGAAACAGCTGGGCAGGTGCCCACCGGGGTCCCCTGGCTCCCAGCCCCGACCGCCCCAAGCTCGGAAAGCCCCGTGACACCCAGGGCGGGGTGGAGGGCTGCCGACTGTGGTGGGACATCACACTGCTCTCTGGGCCCGGGCACCCTCTCACAATGACAGCGATGTGGCTGGCCTTGGGGACCTCTGGCGTGGTTTCTTGAGACTGTGGGGGGGTGGGGGGTGGCGGGGATGGCGGGAGCATCTCACATTCCCCGTTTCCCTCTTCCTTTCATGCCGCCAGCTCCCAGGGAGCCATGTAAGTAGCGGGGTCTCCTCGCCTCCGCGGCCGTGGACCTAGCTGGTGTTTGGCGGGGCACACGGGACTCCCGGGGGTGTGTGGCTCCCGGCTGCTGAGGTGTGCCCCCGCTCTCCTCTCCAGATTTCCAGGCACCTTCGTGGGCACCACAGAGCCCGCTTCCCCGCCCCTCAGCAGCACCTCGCCCACCACCGCCGCGGCCACTATGCCTGGGGGGCCCTCTGTGGCCAGCCTGGCTCCTCCGGGGGAGGCCGCTCTCTGCCTGGAGGAGGTGGCGCCTCCTGCCAGCGGGACCCGGAAGGCCCGGGTCCTCTACGACTACGAGGCGGCCGACAGCAGCGAGCTGGCCCTGCTGGCTGACGAGGTAGGCCTGGGGGCCACGAGGACGGGGGGAGGGCCGGCTCACGGGCGCCGGGAAACTGGAGCTGGGGGCGTGGGGCCTGCAGACCCTGCACCGCGGGCTTCCAGCCTCCGAGTGGCCCTGCGGGTAGAGCTGGGGCCAGTCGGGTAGGCAGAGACGGCTCCAGCTCTGAGGAAGCAGCCTCTCTGATCTGTCTCTGTAGAGCAGCTGAGGAGGTGAGCAGCTCAGGAGGTGTCGTTTCCTATGTATCAGGGGAGACCGCAAGTCTGTTCCCCCTTAGGGCTGGGGCCAGTTCTGCCTGGCCGGGGCGTGACCCTCCTTCTCCGCCCTCCTCAGCTCATCACTGTCTACAGCCTGCCTGGCATGGACCCTGACTGGCTCATTGGCGAGAGAGGCAACAAGAAGGGCAAGGTCCCTGTCACCTACTTGGAACTGCTTAGCTAAGCAGGCCCCCTCCCAGGCCCCTGCCCATTCTGGCCTGGGCAGGAGAGGATGGGTGCAGCCCTGCCACTTGTCTTGTTTGTTGGTGACCCAGCTGCTCAGGGTGGGGAAGGTAACCCCATCCCATCCCGCCTGTGGTCCTCCAGCTGCGAGGGGCCCCAGAGGCTGAATGATCCTGGCCCCTCCCCCAGCTCTGCTTCTGACCTGGTTCTGGAGATTCCCCCCGCCCCCCGCCCCCCCCCCCCCCCCCCCCACCTGCATATCTGAGCTCCCCAGCCCTCCCGGCTCCTGCTAAGGAGGGAGGGCCTGGCTGCAGCAGCAGCACTCAGCGCCTAGGCCCGTGGGGGTCAGTGCAGAAGGCCTGAGGAAGCCCTGGGGCGCACCCTGGGGGAGGGAGCTCCTGCCTTTTAGTTGCCAAAAGCAGCAAAGGGGGAAAGGCAGGCAGGTGTGTGGAGGCCTGAGGACCGGATGTCGTCCCCTCTGGATGAGCTGGAGCAGAGGGGAGCCTGGGCCATGGAGCGGCATCTCCCCGGTGCTACCCTTCCCCTCTCATACAGCTCAAGCCAAGTATGGTGGCTGCAGCCTGCACCTCTCCACACTCACTTTTTAACTGATCTTTTTACTCTGCCTGTCTGCTTGCTCTCTAGCCAGTGACAAATAATAAACCATCCTTCGTGTGCATGTTGCCTGGGCTCCGGTCAGGTCACGGGCCTCACAGGTGGGAAAGGGAAGAGGAGACTTCACATCTGCACCACCCCTCCTTCTGGGGGGAGGGCGTGATGTACAGAGAGAGCAACGTGCCTGCTGTGGGCCCCTCCCAGAAGCACTAGGGCAGAGGGAGGGAGAGCTCTTAGGGCAAAGCCAGCACCTCCCTTCCTCCCACGCTGCCTGTGCTGCTCAGGAGGGAGTGCTGTTCTCCTACTGCAGCTGCGTAATTACGTTTTTTTTTGGGGGGGGGCGGGGGGTTTGTTTGGGCCACGCCGTGCAGCTTGCAGGATCTTAGTTCCCCAGCCAGGGGTTGAACCCAGGCCCCCTGCAGTGGAAGCGCAGGGTCCTAACCACTGGACCACCAGGGAAGTCCCATGAAGCTGCATAATAGATGTTTTATTCCTAAGAAAGACTTGCCTAAAATCGGGTAGAGTGGACTGTAAAATTTGCACGATAGTTTAAGCTCGAGTAATTGCCGGCTGACAGTGCTTCCCAGGGGCCCGGCACTGAGCCAAGCACGTTCACGCGTATTCTCGTGTCATCCTCGCAGATGAGGGAAGAAGAGATCAGAAAGTCACCTCCGCAACGTTCCATAACTGGCAAGTGGCCACGCAGGGACTCTAGCCCAGGTCAGTCTGGTTCCAGAAACTTCAAGTGGTAGCTCTGGGCTACAAGCCAGTTTTAGATTAAGGCCTGTAGCCAGGCCCAGAACTCTGTGATTAGGTCCCAAGGAGGCTGGAGGCTAGAGGCTGGTGGGCCCCACTGGCGGGCCTTCTGAAGGGAGGGGGAGGCACAGAGCTATCAACAGGAGCAGAGCTTCAAGGAAGGCTCTAGCCGGCGGTGGTGAGCTCAGCCAGCTGTAAGTGGAGGTGCGTGGTAGGGGTCGGGGGGCGGAATCTGAGCGCCCACCCAGCACCCCCAACACCAAGACGTGAACGGAGGAATGTTCGTTAGGTCAGTGGTGGCTATCTCGCCTTCCCCAAACCTCCACTCCACTCTGGGCCCTCGGCCGAGGGAGGCGGTTCGATGCTCTGAGAGCTGGCTAGTCCTTGGGCTTTGAAGGTACACCCCACACGGTTGTGTATAAACAGTATTTTAATATTTGTATAAATAGACCACAATATTACCCAAAACTGCAAGAACAGAGCGTGGAAAACAGATTCTCAAACCCGTGCGTACAGCCTCTCCTGGTTGCACGTGACACTGGCTCCCCCATCTCTCCCCGGGGCCAGGGTCAAGTGCTGTGGGGAATGCTTGAAGGAAAGGAATACACCTCTTGGGGGCATTCTGAACATGAGACTGTGAGCGCAGCAGACTCGTGGCTCCCCACTGTTGACCTCTTGATCTATTACAAAAATAATGCTGGGGGCTGGTGGCTGGAGTCGTGGCTACTCTGGGGAGGGTGACAGGAGCTGCTCTCAGCCCCAGACAGGCCCCTCAGGCCAGCAGCACCCCTGCTGCCCAGGGCTCCCATGCAGGCTGGTGGAGAGTGGCGGCGGGCCCGAGGCCCTATCTTTGCACGTGCCGGACAAAGGCCTGCACTAGCTGGATCAGAGGCTCCTGACTCTCAGGGCTGACCTTGGAGAGAGAGGTGGACTTGCCCTGAGGCGAGGGAAGGATGCCAGCAGCAGGGGAGCTGGGGGCTCCCCGGCGGAAGTAGCGTGAGAGGCTGGAGAGCAGAGTGCTCTGCAAGAGAAAAAGCACGTGATGAGGCCCCGTGTCCCCCACCCTCAGGACTGGCCACGGGAAGGGGGGGACTGGGACCTCCTGGGGCCCCTCCCCAGTGGCCCTGCCCCACCAGGCAGGGCCCCCTACCCATCCTACCAACTCTGAGCTGAGCTCCTGCTTCATCCGCTGCTTGTCCCGGGGGTGCACAGCCGGGTCCCTAAGGTAACGCATTGCCTGGGAGATGAGCAGGTAGAAGCAGTTCTCCATGGCAAACATCAGGAGGGACCTGGAGGAGGGCAGGTTGGGCGCTGCTGCAGGGAGGGCCAAGCTGGCAGTGTGCGGTGGGCCACTGCGCCAAGAGAAGAGCCAGCCCAAGACTGCCCCAGCCCCAAGCCAATCCCGGAAGGAGGCTTTCTTACTTCAGTGTTCTGCTCCCTTCCGCTTGTGTGCTAAGCCCCACTGCCTGGGTGAGAGGCTCCTTTTTCTTGTCCAGCTGGAGCAAAAGAAACGGGGTTAAAAAAATAAGGTAACAGTAACAGCTCCAACTCCTTGAGAGCCTCCATTTTGCAGGGCCTACATTAAGCTGTTTTATCAGTTACTCATGTAAGTCTCACGCTAATTCTTACAGGTCAGCTCTATCACACTCCCTTTATGAAGAGAAGGCTAGATAAACGTGCCCACAGGAAGACTTGGGTTGAGGGGCCAACTTACCTCACCAAGCATGTTTAGGGCCACATTCACTGTGGCCAGAAGGGTCCCAAAAGAGGGGGCCACTTCAGAGTCAAAGGTGGGAGTGGTGAAGCTCAGGGCAAAGAGGAAGTTGTATTCAGCAAGGTCCAGGGACTGCAAGGCAAGGCAAGACGAGAGCGATGTAGGGCCCCACAGGGCCCAGGCAGCTCTTGGTGCAGAGCAGGGCACAGCAGAGCCTTCACGGCTCCACTGGAGGCTGGTGGCACAATGTGGCTGGTACCTGATCCAGCAGGATCTGGCACACGTCGGGGGTGAAGTGGCGCAGGGCCGCCAGGGTCCTGCTGAGGATCTTGAGAAGCCCGTACTGGACGGTGTGCAAGGCCCGCTGCTCCGAGGCCTCTGTGTCAGGAGTGGGCTGCTTGGAGGAGGAGCAGGAGGGGGCAGCTGTGGGTGGCCGCTGAGCTCGGGGGGCGACAGCCGAGGGGATGCCCTCCCCGTTTTTGTTCTGGGGGGGAGACAAGAGATGGCTGGAGCCCACGGAAGCCAGGGGCGAGGCGGTCCAGGCAGCAGCAGCGGACAAGGGCTCAGTTACCTGCAGGTAGTGCTGCAGCATCTTGCGGCTGTGCAGGAGGGAGGTACAGGCCTGGCACAGGTAGCCTAGGTTTACCTGCAGCAAACCCAGGGGAGGGGTGAGGGGGAGCCTCGAGGCAGCAGCCCAACCAACTAGACCGACCATGCAGGTCTCTATGGTAACAACGTACTTCTCCGGCCCCCTGAGCCCCTCCCTACATTCTCTAGCTCAAAATCTCACAGCCACCAAGCACGCTTGACTGCAAACTGTGGGTCAACAGATGCCTGGACGGTTTCCCTGGGACCCAGCTAGATGCCAGGCACAGTATGAGGTCCTAAGTAAATAAGTAAGATGGGGATAATTTTCCCATCTTACAGAAGAAGAAAAAGGCTTAGAGAGAGGTGAAGTAACTTCACCAAGCTCACACAACCAGCAAATGACAGGCCTGTCTGACTCCAGAGCCTGTGTTCTTTCCCTGCCCCCCTCTTCGGCTGGCTCCCAAGTCCTGTTCTAAGGGATGCGAACCAAGGTCGATCCCACAAAGCCCAGCTTCTCAACCTATGAGGCTGCCCTGTCCTGTGGAGGGAAAATTCAGCTCCAGAGGGAGCAGTGTGAAACCAAACCCTGTGATACCTAAAGAAAAATCCCACATTCCAGGAACAGGCCTGCGATTCACTGCCTGCCCCATCCCCTCCGAGCATTTCCCCAGACCCTTCAAGAAGCAGGTCTGAGGCCCCACCTGGACGTCCCGCATAAGCTGAGGCAGGTGGAAGTGCCACTCCTTCCTGAAGCTGGAGAGCTGCAGGAGGAAGCCCACGGTGTGGTCCGCCTCCTCCAGGCACGCCAGACTCTGCACCGTCCTCACCGCATTGAGGCACTGGGAGGGGGGACACGGGGAAGGATGGGGTGACTCAGGGACCTGCCACACCTGCTCCCGCCCTCCCACGGGGAGGAGAGGTCCTGGGTCCACATGCGCTGAGATGGCAGCGTTAACAGGGGGCTGGACGAAGCGGTTTCTGACTAAGAGGTTTCTGTCTGAGCGGATCCCAGACCGTTCCCCTCCCTCAGCAGGGCAGCCACACTGCTTGGCCTGTCAGCCAACAGTCCTTACGGCATCTCAGAAGCGGGAGCACTGGCACCGCTCAACTGCCAAGCCTCAGACCCGAACAGTCTAGACGCCCCTGAACCCCAAGCCCCGACCCCAAGGATCCCAGCGGCCCCTCACCTGTAAGGCCCGCTCCTGGTGAACCCCCACGAAGTCCAGGGCCTCGGTCAGGAAGTTGTAGCGCAGGGTTTTGAGGAGCCGCTCCATCAGGGACATGGACAGGCGGTAGACACCCGGCCAAGAGGGGGCGTCCAGCGACTTCCGAGAGGTGCCGGGCGTCTGAGACACAAACAACAGACAGGATCACGACAGCGCCAAGGAACCCAGCTGACAGGTAGAGCGGGGCCTCCTTGCAGCCCAGCAGCTGAGGCAGCCTGGCTGGTCAGAATAGAAAAGCTCCTGGAATGGATGGCAGCAGGGCCAGACGGGGTCCGAAGGCAGCAGTTACAGGAATCTAGGTTCTAGACCCGCGTCCAGCACTAACTAACTGTGTGAGCTACTCTTGCTAGAGGTCAGTCTGGGGGCGGGGAGGATTCTGCACCATCAGTGCATTAACTAGGCCACTAAAGAGAGCAACTTCTGGGGCAAGTGAAAGCACCAAGTGGGGCTGGGGGAGGCAGTGGCAGGCCACTGGCACTCACCTGCACTGTCCCATTGGTGCTGAGCTGGTACACACTCAGGAGGGGCAAACAAATGCTCTGGGTGATGCCGGCTCCAGCCACTGCTGTGGCCCCCTGGGAGGGAAAGATGCAGAATGAGATGGAAGCTGTCACCGCAGCCGCCCCACCCAAGGGCAGGTGAAGGTCTTGGGCTGGGAGACTCACAGGCAGCGTCAGAACCCACCCAGCATAAGCAAAGAGGCTCCCTCGGGCTTGCCTCCTACCTGCTGGGTGCGAGCCAGGGTAAGGAGTAGGTGCAGCGCGGCCTCAGTGAAATGCA